GAACACGGGATCAGTGACTTTACGGCACGGAAGATCGTAAAGGAAGATTGCAGGGCGAAGTCGAGGGCACGGAAAAAAATAACTCACATGATTACCAACCGCATCCGTGAGCTACGAGTCGAACGATGCAAGAAAATCTTGAACTTCCTTAAGCGAAAAAAATCCGGTAATCCTGTTCACCGACGAGAGCATGTTTACCGTCGATCCCGCTTAAAATTCCAGAACTGACCGGTATATTAGTTCTCTTCCGGTAAAAGACGTGGCCGACGAGCACAAGAACGTGTATCTGACCAAGCATCCTGCTAGCGTTATGGTGTTTGAATTGGTGGCTTCCGATGGCAAAAAAATGGACCCGGTGTTCATTCCAGAAGGCGACAAGGTCAACACGGAGGTCTACATCGGGATTTTAAGTAAGTATGTTCTTCCGTGGATCAAAGAACAGTACGGTCCGAAGCCAAATGTTGTATTTCAAGGAGATGGGGCTCCGTGCCACACATCGAACCGCACTCAGAAGTGGTTGCAGGAACATCTTCCGTTCTGGGCGAAGGATATGTGGCCGCCATCCAGCCCCGATCTTAATCCGCTGGATTAATTAATATGGCGCGTCATGAAGGCCAAGGCCTGTTCTAAACGCCACCCGAGTACAGCAAGCCTCAGACAAACATTGACCCGTACCTGGAGAGAAATTGATCCTGACTACATTATTAGAACCTGCCGTGCATTCCGGAAGCGTGTGGAGGCCGTAATTGCAGCAAGTGGAAGTTCGATCGGTGATTAACATAGTTTAAGACTCGAAAACGAAATTTTTGATTTTTTTAAATTTTGACATTGCTCAATGGTGCAAACATTATCACGCATACGGTAGATCTTTAAAAATGACTGCCCTTGAATTAAAAATCTCTAATCAGTGATTTTAAAAATTATTCTTTGTGCCTAAATGGTTCGTTCTTATCACCAATTCGCAATCTGTATCTTTTTTTTCTTCCTTTGGTTTGTTTTTTCCGTCGATCTTGTTTTCCGTGCTGAGCACCAATGCTACCGACATGCCAGGAAGGCAGCTCCCACACTTGGACCCTACCTATCGACCCATCAACTCATGAACCTGGGACCAACGGCTTTACTTCCCATCCGAAGGAAGGCGTGATCAGAGATGTTATGCCTCAGAACATCCCGGCGGCGCCGACTGGGATTGAACCCAGGCCTGCTGGGGTGAGAGGTAATCACGCTTAGCACTACACCACCGGCGCCGTTATGCGATCTGTATCTAATATTAATTGTTTTAAAAAAGGGGGTAAACAAAACAGTGCAGAGTGAGAAAATGGAGGCTTGCTTATTCAATTCATACTAAGATCGTTAACGGAAAATTCATAAATGACGTAGCATTTTAGGGTTACCAACCATATAGAAAAATTCGCTACAAGAGAAAGGAGGGCCAAAGTTGAAACTTCATTATAGGTAAATTAAGGTTAAACGATTGTTTACGTGTGATGAGGAACCGATTTTGGACCCTTTCTCCTTAGTAGCGTATGTTTCTACATGGCTGGTCGCCCTAACATGCTACGTCACCCCAAACCGTTTGTTTTATCTTCAAGAAGCATACAAAATGCGCATGATGGGTTTGTGAGTTTGTAAAATTTCTCAAAGTGGCAATCACTATCAACGGAAGATTGGAACCATTCCTGGTTATTTGTTATTATTTTAAAGTCACTATTTGGTCAGTACTTTCGTTATTTCAGCCACGAAAGTCATTATTTTAGTCACTTAAGTAGGTATTCTTCTTCTTATTATTTTTATGTAAAAAGTTATTTATACAATGAACCTTGAACATTATATGTATAATGAAAATCATTATTATGTGCGATTTGGACAAAATCTGTAGTACACTCAGGTCTTTTTTTTTTAGACGGGGGATACGGTCCGCGTAAAAAAAACCGTGTAAAAAAAAACCTACGAGATTTTGATTTTTCGCATGCTTAAATGTTTTTAAAAAATCGGATTTTGATGCCATTTGTAATTAAAGCATGATATGGTCCATATAGACATATTTTAAAAATTTCTGTATTTACACCAAAAATTGTGATTTTTTTAAAGTATGCCATTCGATTACAAATAGCTTGAAACGGATAATGTGATTGGAATCAAGTCGATAGGTTGTATTGTTGTCGAGAAATCGTTAAAAACGTACCGTGTAAATCGTGGAAAACCGTGTAAAAAAAACCGTGTAAAAAAAAACCGCGTAAAAAAAAAATCGTGTAAAAAAAGACTTCAGTGTATTTTACGATTCTATCTGTCAATTTTTATACGACTTCTGGTTGTCTGGGAAAGCTGTCTGAGGCCTACGTTCGGTGATTTACGTGCATCATATTGCTTTCACATAAGCCTTTGGCTAGGATTTCGCTCATTTCCGTAAAGGAGGATTTTCTCATATTAAACAAATGTTGTGTTGAATTTATTAAACTGTGAGTTACGTTTACTCAATTTCTGGCGATTGCTTTCCAGACAATATACAACAAGAAAAACACTCGCAAAAGTAATGTAAAATGCCTAGAAGAAGAAGAAAATGTTGAAACCTTTGCTAAAAGAATAGTCGACTTGGAATTTGGAAAAAAATATTGTGTCATTAAAGTAGCAGTGGTCAAATAACAAGACTCAGGATACTAATTTGTCTATTAAATGGAAACATGAATTTGTTTGTCACAAAACCAGTAACGGTGGTAAATAATCTTTTTGTCGTGCTTTGTTGGTATAAGATCTACCACCGAACCCTAGTTCTGACAACATCAAACTAGGGGAACAGGATTTTTCAGTAATCAAAAGAACACATTTTAGTAGAAAGTGAGTAATGGCGCTATAGCCATAACCAGGGCTGTCGTCTGATCACTCAATGCGCGCAATGTACTGATTTTCTGAAATAAACAAAGTGAGAATCAAGCAAACACAAAGTTCGCTTGTCTTTCACCCTGCGCAAGTGTAAAGCAGCGGAGAAGAGAAGACAGACACACACTCAGAAATAACGAAAGCTCAATGTGTAGCCATCGCTCCGACGGCTCCGACGCAAAGAGCGCCACTTAGTGTGGGGTTGCAAAAGGGAAACACAGCAAAAAGACAAAATTCTTCGTTACGCCCTTCTTCACCTCTTATGCATGCAATCGTGGTAAGCAAAGTCTGCAAAGAACTCAAAGAATACATTAGCACGTTTGTTGTTTCGCTCCCTGCGCCGCACGGAGTGTACCTCTCATTGTGTGGATCGCTTTCTCACAGATTAGTTGGAAAAGAGTGTGCGAAGCAAATGTGAGAACCACACACTCTTTGTCGAGTGTTGTGAGATGCATACACAAAGTTGCTTTGCTAACGCTCTGAGGTGCCTTCCAGCCCTGGCCATAACCCATAAAAAGTTAGGACAAGAGTTAGTGCTCATTTCCCAACCGTCAGAGGAAAAATTGAGCATCACTTAACCTTTCCAGCTTAGATGCTTCCAACGACCAAGCAATGATATCATTACCAAAAACGGAACGTGCGGAACGAGATGTCCTCGTTTCATTTATTTATTGGATTCTGAAGCATCGTGTTTGAATCTTCGAATCAAACAGGCCCGCTGGATTCTGAATCATCTTGCCCCTTAAATGCTGCACAGTCTTTGATGTAAAACATATCTAGATAGAGCTGGAATTACGGCATATTTTTTTTGTAAACAATGACTTCTCTCGATGATTTATGTTGGTTATGTTGGTTTGCCTTGGCGCGCCTTGAATTCCTAGAAATCATCGAGAAAAGTCATTGTTTACAAAAGCTGTTAGGCCATAATTCCAGCTCGTTCTAGATATATCAAATAGACAAGAACAATGATCAAGGTATATCAATCATTTTCCAGGATGCTTTCATTAGCAATGGAATATGTTTGTCACAAATGAGTATTGATTTTTGAACAGGTCGTATTAAAAAAAATAGAAAACCGGGAATGTCTCGTGATCGTTCAGAGATTTCAATTTGATTTGTCAAGCAATACATGTGCATAATAATAAGCTTCAACGGTGATGCTGAGAATGCTGGGATGAGAAATTTGAAATAAAAAAGTAAGAGCAAAAAAATGTGTTTGAACTTGTTTCCGTAACTCGATACATCCTTCTCAATTCGATGGTATCTCAGTATCGACTTAGGTAGAGCTAATTGTATTCTCTGAATAAAACATCATTATTTGTATTTTCAAACACACAATTTCGAGCTCACACATTCAGTATAGTCAGTGGGACTTGCCTAGTTATCCGATGGCAATATTAATTAATTTACCATTAGTTCAGTACAGTTCCATTCCAACAAGTGAACAGTTATCGACTCAAAAACGGACAATCCGGACTGCATGTGCAGCTAATGACTGTCGGTTGTTTTTGCTCCGAAGTATGCACGACGCGCTACCAAAACATCCAACAAGTTCCTCAACTCTTAATTGCTTTATTTGGACGTCAATTTGTCTCCGGGTACCTGTCCAAATATGAACCAATCCACAAGCACTCGGCACGCTCAAAAAACAAAACAAACCATCCCGTCATCTTCTCGTATTACGTACTACCAGGTCTGCAGCCACTCCCCTCCCCCCCGCGCGTAGTATACACTAGAGTAGTCAAGTTAGTCAGTTATTCAGTCACACTCGACACCGAACACGTACACAGGCGAACAAACAGGGCAGAAACAAAAGCAAAGGTGGTGGTGGTGGTGGGTGGGGGGTTGGGTGGTAAACCAAACAAAGACAAGATGGGTATAGCGAGGACAATAGTGAGTTTAACACCGGTACACACAAAAACGGTAGCGACAGGTAGGGCACAGAACACAGCGACAGACTTTAGAATACGAGTTTTTCGAGTCTTGTATCGTAAACAGAAACAGATTTCACGGATTTTTTTTTCCTTATTGAATTTCCCCCCCTTTTTTGAACAAGAGGGTTGAGAGTTGGAGTAACGGGGTTGTAGAAACGACTATCAACACAGGAAGGAAAAACTACTTACATTCTGCCTTGGTAGCCGGGGGTTTTCTGGTGGCCCAGTTTGTCCTAATGGATCTCGATCCGAGCCATTGTCCATTCATGGCAGCAATTGCATTCTCCGCTTCCTGTTGAGAAAAGAGTGTAAGAGAGAGAGAGAGAGAGGGTATAAAAAAAACGTCATAAACGTTGGGAGCGCTCGGACGAACGAATGAAAGTGAGATGAAAAGTTTGTATAGCATCACAAAAGCTGATGACCCGACACTTGACACTGTGCTGCTCGACACAGAGTGTTATCCTCTTGCGCTCTTACTGCTGCTACTGCTGGTATGTGTATGAGTGGGTAGGTGTGTGTGTGTGTAGCGCTCCGAGGGGCGAGATGATCCCCATTCTTCTCGGCATTTAATATTAAAGTGCATCGCTCATCTCGTCATCATCGTAGTTAGTCCTGGTGGAAGAGCTTGCTTGCCATGACGATGACGATGTTGGTGGGTGGAGGATTGTTGGTAGGACGAGTGGTGGCGACGAGCTTGGTTTGTTATTGAGAGCTCTCCTGCTGCGTGTCAAACACCGTAATCGTCGTAGTAGGTTGGGTGACTGAGGCGTGAGTGTGGCAACCCAGATTGAAGATGGTGCAAAAAGTGACAATATTGTGACAAATTCTTTTCCCGGAAACTGCTGGCTTGTCGGATCTCTCACTTTGGTATCCAGTTGCAGTAGCAAGCGAGAGACTAGAATGTGTATGTGCATGGGAGACAAAACGGCTTTCGGTTAGCGACCGTGGTTGCTGAGGTTTTCCGGGAAATTTAGCTGTAATGGCAGCTCTGGTGTTTTAATGCAGCCACCGACTGGCGAGCTATGGAGACGAGAGGGTTATTGTTTGACGATTTCAGCTCATGCGTTCGAGGAATACCATGAATTTTCCACCGAACCGTTTCTAATTTATTCTATTTTGGATGAAGATTGATGCTAATAGTTCCGGGAATACCGTGGGAAATGAGTCTGGTGATTTGTTTAAATCGTTATTCATTTATCAATTTTTATAGCTTGGGCAGTCCTACGATTAGAACTTAAGTTAGGCAGTTTAAGGAAGTTGTGGGCCTCCCTTAGCTTTTGATTAAAGGCGCCGTAAATAAGACCATTCTGGAGGCGGCTGGGTTCGGATGCCGGCCCGGTCTTGGAATTTTTCAACTTAACTGGACTTGCTACACAATTATACTGATGCAAAAATGGTACAGGCTTAGAACATTAAGTTGATAGCCGGCATAAAATCCCAGTAAGGACGTAATAAAGCCAATGAAGAAAAAGGAAGTTTAAGATATAAACTGAAAGAAAATTACATTTTTTTAAATATTTTTCACCGTGCATCTCACACTAAAGGTTACGAATTAAAATCTTATCCCTGGAAAAGTCACGAATTACTTAAAAATTGTTAAATGTGTGGTGTAAAATACAAAAACTATGAAAGCCTTATGGATTAAGTTCAGAGTCTTGAAATTCTTAAGCTTAACAAAAAACATCGGACTTTGGAGATCTTAAAAATAGGAAATCAAAAGAACTCTTTTTACAATTCGTTTAATCGATATAAGTGGTAAAATATCAACAATAATATCATAAAATCTATGGGCTAATAACTGAGTAATAGCAAAGTAGCTATTGACATACCTGATGAACAACAGAGTTTTTGAGCTTCACAATAACAAACCAATATCATTCAATCCCGATGACTTCTAATTCTGCGTGTCAACACATTTCACTCTCCTTTCTCTTATCCTTCACCTATGCATCTACGCTTCAATTTAGCCCTCATTTATTTTCGGCAAATTTCAATCGACACGCATATTTTTATAGACGCTCATGCTTTTGATTGTCTGATTATTATATCACATATTACTATGTATAAAAAATCGGGGATGAAGAGGGACCATCAGGGCACACAATTGAAGCGATTTGGATGGGGAGAGAAGAAGGAAGATGTCAACTTCCTGTTGCTAACCTTTCGTGGATAAACAGTGGGCTCTTCTCCCCATTCATTGGGGCATATTCCTGTTGGATGGCTCGTTTTCTGACCAATTGGCTGATCAAGTTGTTGGAAGGAGATTCTTAACTGTCCCAAGGAAATGAACAGGATTGCCTATCAATCTATCCATTCTTTTTTGGCCCTTTATGCAGCGATTTGCTGATGACATTCAGAGGTTATTAAGCTTGATCAAGTCCAACAGTGAGGAGAGCTCACGGCTATCGGACTAGTTTCCGTGCTACAATGAGTGGTATACCACTATCATCATCATCATCATCATCATCATCACAATAACAAACCAATATCATATTGAGCTGTTAGAGAAATATACAGCCATTCCATACAACGATATAGTGGTTCTCAGAATTTCGTTAAAGTTGGTAGTTTTGTTCCTTATCGCAAATTATTAGACCGGTATTTTTTTTAATTTTTTTTATAAGGGTGATCATTTCCATATTAGGGTGGTCCACAAAATCAATTTAATTTTTTTTTTCAAAAGTTAGTTTTTTTCAAAAATTTATCATTTTTGAACCACTTGGCCGAAGTCAAAGATCAAAGTATTTCAAAATGCATATTAGAATACAAAATAACTGTAGTAAAAAAATGAATTTTGTATTGAAAACATCGATTTTATTGGTTTTTTATGGTTTTCATGGTTTGTAGATAGAGGGCGCTATATGTTTTATATTTTTTTCCTTGAAAATTTAGGCCTTTCTACACAACATAAAAAAAAAATCAGCCATGTTTTTTTTTCGTTTTTGAGTTATAATTTTTCAAGTTATCAAGTTTTGGGGTTTCGCTCAATACTCCTATGTGACTTGAATACCATAGTTTAACATGTTTTTGTATTATTTTTTTGGTATTTTACATATCAGGCTTATCCATACGAATTTGTGGTATCGAGATATTCGTTTCTGCTCGGGTTGGTTTGTTTTTTCTATAGATTAAATCAATAACATGTCATAGCTCATTATGTTATCCAGTGTTCGGAAAAACTAAAAACTCATGTGTAATTTGCGGCCTATGAGTTTTGCAAGGTCAGAAAAAAAGTCCCCAAAATAAGTTTATTTCACCTAACTAGGAACTAAAGTGTGGGATGCCAAAAGTAAGTAAAGTCCCATGTACTCAATTTTGAGTACTCTCACTGAAGGGCTTGGATGGGTAGAAATTACTTGACGGTTGGAAGGAACAAATGATGTTCAAAAAAATAAAAAAGGTAATCAGAGCGGACTCGAACCATGAACGTTGCGATGATTAGGCCTATGACTTCACCACTCGTCTGTCAATACTTGGGATACAGACCAAACCAAAGGCATATATCAAGCGCTTATAGCACGATCACTCGATTTCGTCTGCCTTTTCTGTTAGACCGTCTCACACTCACATCAGAACAATGGGCAGCGATCAGGGGTTGAAACAGTTGACGTTTTTTACTACACTCGCTTCGTTGTCGTGCGCGACAGTCTGTTTGTATTCGAACACTCATGCTCTACCGTCGTCTCTCTCACGCAACACGAGCGGTAGAATAACATTCGAGCTAAAAGAAAATGATCAAAATAGCTATCATTTGACATGTGTGATTTCGTTGTAATTCCTCAATTTGGTGTAAATCAAACCATTTCTGATCAGAAATATTATTACTAGAACATCATTGTTTGCTATTTTCAGAATTCACACAAGCACAACATCAGCAGCTCTTATTATGAGAAAAACTAAATACATAAATTGGTGACGGTCTTCGGCGACAGTGTCGTATGACAGAGCCTGTCATATGACATTTTAGTTTGGTACTGTACTATGATAGCTTGTTTTGCAAGTGTCGGAGGCAAAGGCAGTCAATTATCACAGAAAATGTATCGACTACCGTGACCGCTTACAAGACTGATGGTAGTAACCACTACTCCATCAAAGTTTAAGTTTTTGCATGTGCTACATCACTAGATCCTCACCAGATAGAGAGTAAACGTCTTTAGCAAAGTTGTTCAGGTAGTCAAGATCTTTTCGTTGGTGGACAGTTGTTCAGAATTTTCTCACTACTTGGTGCTAGTATACACATGCAATTCTCGCATATACAATAGCTCGAGATCCTGAGCAGATAGAAAGTTATTGTTTTCGGCAAACTTGTACAGGGGGTCAAGACGTTTTGGCTGGTGGACAGTGGCCCAGAATTTTCTCACCACGTGGCACTAGTAAACGTACACAATTCTCGCGTATGCTAAGCTCGAGATTCTGAACAGGTAGAAAATTACTGTCTTTGAAAATCGATCTGGTCAGGAGCTCGAGATAGGGGAATTTACGTATTCTCATCAATCTAAGCAGCGTCCGAACTTCTATTGACGATTTCTCAGCGTCACACACATACATGACAGGTTTGTTTGTTGACATTGATCTGCTGCTTGCTGTTCTACCAATTCCAATCGACAGAATTGATCAAAACGGGTTGAACATGTTTTTACAACGCTCCAAACTTCTCAGGTGAGTGTGACTATTGTCGGCAGTCTCTTTTTCTTCTGCACCCTTTCCATTTGAACTGCGTGTTAACCAACTGTTCTATTATCGGCAACTCGAAATCAGCCGTATTTTGTAGTGTGTATATTTCATTTACAGAAAAATATGGCAGAACAGGATTGCACAGTCGTAAAAATGTAATCAGATTGAAGCTGAGAAGGTAAGGAATCGGTTTAATATATTCAGCGAAGAGTTTTGATGGGAAAATACAGTGAAATAAACGTTTCAATTTCGGTTGCCGAAAACAGTCAATGGGTGCCGAAGCCATAATTTACCCTATATCACAAGCGAGAATTTCACATTTCACTAGCGCTACGCAGTGAAAAAATGTTGAACAACTTGTTGAGCAAAAATTGTGTGATATCCTGAACAACTGAATTTTCCTTAAGATCTTTGACCTTACCTGAAGTTTTATGAAGTTTCTTGAAGGTCTTGTAAAATTCAGGAAATTTTCTTGAAATTAATGAAACTGTCGTGAAGATCACAAAAAAATCTAAAAGATCATAGAACTGAATTGAATTTCTCGGAAGCAACCCTTAGGGATCTTTAATCTTCCTCAAAGTTCGGAACTTTTTTGTAGTTCTTGGAACTTTCCTTGAG